TCTTAGGTTGGCCCTGTCCTCGGGCGGCGAGGGCTTGTGCTGGCCGTAGCGCTGGCGCCTCGTCCAAATTCTCCTCCGCATCGATCGCAAGCGCGATCGGCAGGGTCACGAGCGGAGAGGCGTCGGTCGATTCGTCATCGCTCTGGTCGTCAGAATCTTGATCTGACCACCCGAAGAACGATCTATCGTCATTTGGCAGTGCTGACGACTCCGCTGCCGAGAATCCGACAACAATTTGTGCGAACGAGCGCCTTCGTCCTCCTTCCGCCATGACTGTCACCTGCGATGATGAGAAAATCGAGACGTGCTGACGTTTTCATCATTTTCTCCGAAAAATTACACAGCACCGAAGGGTGGTTTTAGCAGATCGCGGGCCAAATGGAGTACAGTTTCGACCCTGGGTGCACGTGCAGTGCACGTGCATAGTACTACTTGTGCATGAGGATGTCGCAAACATTAGTCCGCAGGCCAGGGTTGAAATTTTTCGAGATAAAAAAATCTCGCTCCCGCTCAGGGGGGACCAAGTTTGGTTGTGGCGAACCGAAAGAGGACCCCTCGGGCTACTCGAAACTACTTTTGGGTATCCCCGGAGCTGGGGCTTTCGTGCGGAGTAAGCCCTTTTGGTTCCAATTTTCGGAACGACCCCAAGTGCGCAGTTGTCGTCTCCTGCAATTTTGAGTACGCGGAGAGCCTGCTCAAATTTGAATTTCGCTTTCACGTGGCGCGGCACGTGGGGCGGCACTGCAGAACTAGAAGAAATTGAAGCAGTCGGATACAACAAAGAAAGCCGAAAAGGGCTTACTCTACACGACCAACCGATCCATGGCGACTGTTTCGGGTAGCCCAAGGAGTGCTCCTTCATCCTTGGACAACCATACATGTCTCCCTTCGACTGAGCACGCAGGTTAGGGAAACGATAATGTTTTACTGCGCCAGATGAAGGAATCGTCGAGATAGAGAAGTTTTGGTGACTGACATAATTATAAGCATAAATTATATCTCCCAGAGGCGATGGCCTGTCGAGGGATAGAGATATGATATGGACACTGGAGTATGGAATCAGTTGATCCGAAACCCCGCCGGAACACTCGGCAATCTGTGCAGGCCCCAATTGTCGAGCCAGGCCGTCAAACCTGCATTTTCTGCGGCTCTTTGAAAAAGAAGATTCCAGGCAAAAGCACTAAGCAAACAACGTCGCTCTTGCAATCCGAGGATGGCGAGCAAACCCTTCGTGCCGCTGCCGAGATCAGGCAGGACGACAAGATCTTGATAGCAATAGGCTCGAGTTGCTTGATAGCACGCGAAGCGTACTATCATAAGTATTGCTACCGAGAATATACTCGGGCCAAAACACTTGCTAGGCTGCAAGATCAGGGCGAGAGCGCAGCCACTTGTGCGCCTGTTGCCAGTGCGGGCACCGAGATTGATAAAGATTTTTTTACTGAAGTAGAAACGCTGCTGTTTGTGGAATGTTTGGTTCGGACCGTCAGTGACCTGACTCGATTGTTCAATCAAGTGTCCATAGAAGGGACAGCGCTAGCGAGAAACGAAAGAGTCAAGGGACTACTAATGGATAAGTATGGCGAGTCCATAACGTTCTCTCGTCCCCGCGCACGGAATAAATCCGAGTTGGTTTACGCCACGGAACGTGCACCAGTGATAATAGCACGACTGTATGACAGGGACGCTGCGAGCGAAAGCGAGAGTGAGGAATCTGGTGACAGTCCTAGTGCTAGCGCCTGTGAGAGCCAAGAGGGTATCGCTAGTACCACTACCAGTAGGTCTACCAACTATGGAACAAGAGCACCCAGACGCCCCGCTGAAGTGGATGTGCACCAGACTGTTATTATGCAGGACAGCATACGTCTGGTATACCATTCGGCTAGGCTCCTGCGGAATGCCTGTCAGCAACAGGCAGAGAGTTTCGACACTACAAGCACAAGTCCTGGCAGCAGCACTGGTATGATTTCAGTGAAGCAAGCTGAGCAGTGCATTCCTGCCCTGCTCCACAATTTCCTTGTGTGGTTTTTGAGCTCAGGCCAGCATGACAATATACCAGCAGCATCCAGCAAGCTTGAAGTTGATTCCACGCTCAACCGCTGTGTGATGTCCTTTGCACAGGACCTAGTGTTCCAGTGCACAACTATCGTGCCACCAAAGCATGTTGCTCTTGGTTTGGCTCTACACCATCTGTACAGAAGTGAACGACTTGTGACCATACTGAACAGATTTGGCCACAGCATTGCGTACGCCCAGGTGCTGGAGAGAGAGACACGGATGGCCGAAAGTAAACTCCACAGCAGGGAGGCTACTGACGGCCTTCCGGATATTGTCGATCTCTCCATGCCATTCTTCCACGTTGCTGACAACAACGACCTTAACGAGGAGACATTGGATGGAAAGGGCACGACCCATTGTACCAACACCATTGTGGTCCAACCCGTGTTGCGGCCCGTTCCACAGCCTGAACTGCAGCCCGCTATGCAGCCTGAACAGCAGTCCGTTCCACAGCCTGTACTGCAGCCCGCTGTGCAGCCTGAACAGCCATCCACTACACAGCCTGAACAGCAGTCCGCTACACAGCCGATGGCTGCTACTGAGAGCTCTGGGGGAAAGAAGCGGAAGCGAGCCCTTTCATTAGAGCCAGAATCGCTCCCGGATTTTGTTGGCCGACAGAAGGTCAACCCGCCACGATTTCCATATGCTACAATAGAGCAGTTGGATGGTGTAAAGCACGATGGTACAGACGCTGTTGGTCTTGTAGACTTTGCGTGGCGGCTTGTGAGGGCGTGTCGGGATGCAGATCTCTGCAATCCTGTGATGTCTTTGTCCGAAGAGAATCCCAATCAAGATGTGCCATCGTGGTCAGCATTTAATGGTCTTACAACCAGTGCTAGTACCCCTCCTCGCTCCGTGCTTGCATACTGTCCTGTCGTGAATGCTTCTCCTACTGAACTTTCCACAGTGTATGGTATCCTCAAGAAATGCGTCAGCCGGTGCGAGCGTGCAGGAATGGCCTTCTCACTGATTGTTTTTGACCAAGCCATCTATGCCAAGGCCCTGGATGTGATTTCTCAACGACAAGATGAGTTCTCATCAGTTGTGCTGCGGCTTGGTGCTTTTCATGTTGCATGCACATTCATGGCCGTTATCGGAAAGCGATTCAGAGATGCTGGACTTTTGGATGTGCTGATTGAATCTGGTATTTCCGGCCATGCATCTGCCTCAGCAGCGCTAGATGGAAAGCAGTACAACCGAGCAGTGCGGTTCCACAAAGTTGTTGGTGAGGCCTTGGAGAGAATTCGCTGGAAAGAGTTTGTGGAGAAGTCTGATTCCACACTGACAGACAACATTGAAGTGCTTCGTTCTCCGCTACAAGAACTACGGAGCTGTCTCAATGCTGATAATCTAGCTCGGGTCACAGCGTCACCTGCCTTGCAATCTTTGTGTGCCAAGTATGCCCAGTACTGCCAGGATGAAGTAAATCCAAATTTCAAGTTCTGGTCGTCGTACATCGACATGGTCGATCTCTTGCTACGATTCATTCGTGCCAGCCGTACTGCAGATTGGCAGCTGCACCTGTCCTGTGTTGCCAGTATGCTCCCTTGGTGTTTTGCCTACGATCGTTTGAATTACGCACGCTACATGTCCTATTATCTGGTCCAGATGCAGCAGTTGGTAAATACCCATCCTGAAGCCGATGCTTTCCTTCGACGAGGTGGCTTTTCAGTCCAGCGGTCAGATAATCCGTTCGCCCAAGTAGCGTCAGATCAAGCGATTGAGCAGTCCATCAACCGAGCAAGCAAGACGTCTGGTGGTATCATTGGCTTCAGCCGCCATCCGGCAACTGTACAGAGGTGGGTGTTAACTGCTCATGATCGCGCAGCAGTCACCGACACATGCATGGAGCATTGTGGTCTCGATGATAGCGCTGAGGAGAGGGATGCTTTCCACAAAGAGTGTCAGACAGGACGGATGGCACGTGATGAGAGAGATGTACTGCAAGTCCTAGATACCATCTCACGATTCTTCAACCCCTTCCTCCCTGCCTCCCAACAGCACTGTGAGCAGCTGATGCATCTGTCTTCTGGTACTGAAGCAACCGCTGAAACCTCAACAGATCTTCTGGATGCTGAGAAGCGTGGTCTGGCAGGTTTCCATGACTTTGTCAACCAGCGACTGATCACAGATGCAAAAGCATTCCATGACCCACTGAAGAAGATGAATCTGAAGTCATTCACTGTCAAGAAGAAGAAGAACCCTGTGAATGATCAAGCTGGCATCCTTCGGTCCGACCGGTCAACATTTTCCCGCATTGCTCTGATTGCACAGACTCGCCAAATGGACATGCGTGAAGTTCTCTCATATCCACTCGGACCACTGCCATGGTCACTAGCAACTACATCAGGTACTCTGGTCAAGACGAGCAAGGCAGCCCTACTACCGCTGCTGACCGATGGAATCGCATCTTCCAATAATCCAGATGCTGGTGGAGCTCTGATCATTGATGCCATGGCACACCTGAGGTCCATGAAGGTGTTCGATCTTCCGTCCACTTTTGGTGAGTTTGCTGCTGTTGTTCTGAGCCATCTGTGCCGACTGCTATCTTCATACAGCCGGATCGACTTTGTGGTCGACACGTATCAAGAGATTTCAATCAAGAGTTTGGAACGATCTGCCCGTGCTGCTGATGGAGGACTGCGCCAGCACATCACCAGTCCTGCGCAACGATTGCCTCGGCAGTTTGTCAAGTTCCTGGCAGTTGGTGCCAACAAGGAAGAGTTGCTGGAGTTTCTCTTCAAGCAATGGCAAACAGTCGACCTGATGAAGAAGATTCCAAGCCACAGGGAGCTAGTTATCACCTCCGGCAGCTCGTGCATGAAGATAATGTCTGGTGCTGCCACTACAGTTGCCCTCCCTGTCACTGATCTGGCTTGCGATCATGAGGAAGCAGACACCCGACTCCTTCATGCTCACCACGCAGCGCTAGCAGGATCGCGGACTATCACCATCAAGTCACCCGATACTGATGTTGCCGTGCTAGCAGTTGCGTTCAGCCACTCCATTCCAGCACCTCTCTACTTCATGACAGGAACCGGTGTAAAGACTCGCTACATCCTGATGAATGCTATCAGCGAGAAGTTGGGCCAAGCTGTTTGTGATGCTCTACCTGGCTTTCATGCTTTTACGGGCTGTGACACAACAAGTGCCTTTGCAGGCAGAGGCAAGAAAGGTGCCTTCAAGCTTCTGTGCAACAACTCCCCGGAGAGTGCAGCTGCCCGCTTGGCCTTCAGTACTTTGGGTGCAGCTTTTACACCACTTGCCACCGATGTCATCGACGCCCTAGAGAAGTTTGTCTGCATCATGTACAACACCACGTGTTCCCGGGTCAATGATGCCAGGTACCAGCTGTTTTGCACAAGGAGTCTGCAATCCAACCAACTGCCACCCTGCAATGACGCCCTTCTAAAGCACTGCTGCCGCTCCAATTACCAAGCTGGTATTTGGAAGCGATGCCTCTTGTCACATGTGGATGCACCATCACCGAATGAGAAAGAACAAGGTGAGAGCAGCAATAGTAAAGTACACCTAAGTAAGAGAATGGCAGAATGTATTTCAGTATGTATCTTGTCTGTGTTGGTGTTGAATAAGAAAGTGCAGCAGGCTTTAATACTTATGTACCTGTAAGAGTACCCGCTGTGATAAATCTGCTAAGAAGATGTTGTATAGAACCAGTGTACTTGATATCTCTGTATGTAATGGAGTTTGAACATTTTTTCCTGTCGCTGTGATTCTTCTCTTCATATTACAGGCTGGCACCTAGAAAGCAATGGGACATTGGCAGTTGACTGGTTAAGCCTGCCACCTGCTCCAAAGTCAATCCTAGAGTTCCTCCGGTGCGGGTGCAAAACTGGTTGCAGCAGTGGCAACTGTTCGTGCCGCCGGCATATGCTGTTGTGTACAGATGCTTGCACCTGTCGGCACCACTCTTCAGTAGTATGCACAAACTACCCAGAGCAGCATGCAGCATTGCCTACGACCCAACACATCTCACCTGAAACTGATTTGTAAGTAGTCATTGATATCTTGTTTTGTTTTAAAATAATGCCGTCAATGAATGCTTCACGTGAGAGATATTTATGATAGTAACTGTTTATACCATTGGTGTACATGGCTGGTCAAATCCTTTTAAGTAATGTGAACTTGAATTCAATACTTACAAAGCGTTATATTCTCGTATGTGTGTTATAGGGTCTGCAGTGACACAGCTCATGACTGATAGCAGCCAGCCAACCGTAAGGATTCGGGACTGACAAACTTGTAAGCAATCACTAGTTGCCGTTATCTCTGTGCTGTATTAACTTCCAAGTCTTTAAGCATGAGAGATGCGCTGCTAATGAGCACCTGTCCATACTGACTATACTTGGCCATGTATGTAGATCCGTCACGCGGCTTGCTGCTAACGGGACACAATCATTGTGCGATGGTCTTTTTTCTTTCTTTCTATCTTTTTCAGGTTGAGCAATCATGTGCATGATGGATAGCAGCCAGCTCTAGAGTGTCCCACCACCTCTGGGATATCTTGCAACAAATCTTATGACAGATCTGTGTCAGCATCAGTGGATGCCGGAACTGTCTTTCTTTGGCCGACAACCGCATCCCGCAGCACGGGTGATAGCACATCTTCTTCTTATCATATTATCTACATGACTGTAATATTGTCATTATAATTTAACCTGTACCTTCATTTTAAATTGTTTCCAGAGGACCTATGATCTTCTTACTGGAGCTCAGTAGTTAGTGCGGGGCAGGTTCTGGCTCACTTTTTGACCTTTGACCTTTGGGCCAAATAAGGCACACTGTGTCGGTCGTGCTTGGTCTGGCCCCAGGACTTCCCCCAGGGTTTGACCTTTGACCTTTGGGTTAAATAAGGCACACTGTATCGGGCGCGCTTGGTCTGGCCTCGGGACCCCCTAGGGTTTGACCTTTGGCCCTGCCATGTCATAAATGTCATCATGTTCTTTTCCGTGGCGACCGTGCACTTGTGCACGTTCGGTGCATTCATTTTTTTTTTTTTTTTTTTTTTTTTTTTTTTACTATGTTCACATTCCCAGCTCGAAAATAATAAAGAAAGACAATTATACTGAGACGAACGTGACAACTATTGAGCAGGGGCTGCACCGAGACGCAGCAGTGATGGTGGGGCATTGATGGCTCTGCCGACCTGAGGTCTCGGCATCACGGCCAAAAACACGCACCAAAAACAAAAGATAGAGCTGTACGAGTCAGCAAAATGAAAAGAAAGGAAGGGTTAACATCAGCGAGTGTGCGGGAGAAACTGTGAGACTATTAACAAATTACAAGGGCTGTTACTGAGAGGAGCATCATCATGGCTGATCATGGCGAGTCGGTTTTCTGAGCCAGTTGTGGTGCATAGATAGGGATAGAGGAGAACGACGAGAGCATCATCATAGCGAGTCGACCGCCCAGAGCCAGTTTGTGCTTCGCAGATGGCGATAAACATTAGTTTTGAATGCTTGCATTCCCTTGCTGTGGGGAGGCTGGGACAGAAGAGCGGCGGGGAGGGAGTTCCAGTCACTAATACTGCAGTGTGGGAACGAGCGCTTTAATGCCAGCGGGACAGATGCAAGCAGCTGGTGTTGGAGCTGGTGGTCATGGCCAATGACGCTACCATGCTCGCTGCGAGTTCTGGGGCTGGATGAGGGGAAATAGCGCGGTGGCAAAACAGAGAGCAGCTGCGGAGGGCCAGGCAGGTAATGCAGCTTGTATAGGCAGGCAAGCGAGGCAACAGTACGACGGATGGCCAGGCTAGGTAATAGTGCACCTGGACCGATGATTCGCAGAGCACAGCGTTGGATATGATCCAGGCGTTGCAGGTAGCTGGGCGGAGCACCTATCCAGATGAGGGGGGCATACTCCATAACTGGTCGAACAAATGCCTTGTATACTGTGGTGCGGCCGGCTGGAGAGAGAATGTGCGCTGCACGGCGCAGGAAGCCCAGGCGTTGTTTGGCTCGAGTGGCAACCTTCCGGAGATGAGTGCTGAATGACAGCTTCGAGTCAAAGGTCACTCCAAGTAAAGAGAGAGCCTTCTCCTCAAGGACAGGAGTGCCGCCGAAGACAATGCGAGGCAAATTGATGGGGGTTCTGCGGAGAGTGGCGGTCATGGCTTGGGACTTCGACGGTTCGAAGGAGATGCGCCATCTGCGGCCCCACTGATGCAAGCGATCAACAGAAGTCTGGAGGCTCAATGCTGCGTCGGCTGGGGAGGTGTCGAGGGATATCAGGCTGTACAAGGTAGTATCGTCGGCGTACGCCTCTAGGTGGGCTCCGGGTGACAGGGTCTCTGAGGCGTCGTTCACGTAAATCAGGAAGAGTGTAGGGCCGAGTATGCTCCCTTGGGGAACTCCTGCTGATATGGTATACAGCGATGAGGTTTGGCCGCCCACCAAGCATTGAATGGACCGTCCACCTAGGTAGGAAGAGAGCCAGGTATGCAGGGGGCCGCCAATGCCAAGATGGCGGACTTTGTGGAGGAGGCCAGCATGGGACACACGGTCGAATGCTCCGGCAATATCCACGGCTAGAATACGTGCTGCACCGCCTCGGCCGACGGCTGTGATCCAGGCGTGGTGTAGAGCCTGTAGCGCATCTGAGGTCCCGAGGCGGCGACGAAACCCGAACTGGTGGGGTGTCAGGAGTTTGTAACGCTCAAGGTGATTCATGAGCTGACGATTGATAACGCTCTCCATGATCTTAGAGATTATGCTCAGCAGTGAAACTGGACGATAATTCCTTAGGGCGGATCGTGAAGATCGCTTGTGGATTGGAACCACGCTGGCAGTCTTCCACATTTGTGGCTGGACTCCGTGCTGGAAGCAAAGAGCAAAGAGCTGACACAGTGGCTTGGCAAGTTCTCTGGCGCATTCCTTCAAGACACGAGCGGAAATACCGTCGGGTCCAGTCGCCTTTGAGGCATCCAGGCGAGCTAAAAGCCGGTGGACTGCATCCGGGCGAAAGTGGACTGTCGTTAGTGCAGGTGCATCAGCGAATGCCGTGTCCGGTAAGTCCATCGTGGTAAGGTCGCGGCCTTGCACACTGCACTTGCGGGAAAAGAAACGTGCGAAAGCCTCCGATTTCTCATAGCTTGTGGCCCTCTCGCAACCTTCACTATCAACCAGCAGGGGAATGTCAGTGTTCCGACCCTCGCCACAAGCGCACTTTAGCTTCGTCCACCATTCCTTCTCCTTCAGGGACCCATTCGACAAGCTATGTCTGAGGCTGTTCTCTTTGGAAACTCTAGATCTAGCAAGGACTGCGATAGCATTGTTTACAGAACGGGTAAACTCATGTTTCAGTGCAAAATCGTGAGGGTGCTTCCTCCAAGTGCGCCAGCGTTTGTCCTTCTCCTTCGTGGCGGCTGCACACTCAGGTGTCCACCATTTCGGATCTGTTGACTTCACTGTCAGTGTCTTGGACGGAACGAACTGGGAAACGGCGTTCATGATTGTGGCAGTAACGTGCTCACACGAAGTTTCTGGGTTGGCAGTAATGACGGTTGACCAATCAACCTGGCGGAAAAAGGATCGGAGGCGGTTCCAGTCTGCCTTTTCATAGCGCCAGACAGTTCGTTGCACCGCCGCTTCATGGGTAGGAAGAACACCTGTGAAGTCCGAAAGAATTACAGCGTGGTCAGATCGACCAATAGGGGACATTATCTGCGTGGTCACTGGAGAGTTGAACGTGGACATCACCAGGTCGAGTGTGTTATCCCCGCGAGTAGGACTCTGAACGTGCTGCGTGAGAAAGTGGGCTGTGCATGTGTCTTCGAGGGCTTCCCCCGCAGGTGTGGTCTTCGAGCTATGGAGCCAATTGCGGTTATGCACGTTAAAATCACCGGCGAGTATGAGGTTGGCACCAAGTGCACGAGCAGAGGGAAGGATGTCATCGAGATGGTTAATGAGCGTAAGGTCACTGGGCCCCGTCGAACCTGGCCTGTAAGCAGCGCCCAAGACTATCTTTTGTCCAGGGGACAATTGAATGGATAGCCAAATGAGTTCGTGATGTGGAGAAAATAACTCATCAATTACCATGGCTGGGAGTGTAGATCTGATCCATACGGCCACTCCGCCACTGCGTGCTGTTCGATCCAGCCGGAAGGTGGTGTAGCCAGGGAATGTGGAGTCGGATGGTGGAACGGTTTCAGAGGAAAACTTTGTTTCCGTCACTACTGCTATGTCGGGATTATGTTGGTGCAGTGTGTGCTGGAACTCAGCTAGCTTGTTTCCTAAGCTAAATGCATTGCACCGGGGAGTAGTAAAATACGTACTACTCCCTGATTCGCACATCGTAGATGTGCAGTGAATGACATATTGCGCATGCGCGCATAAGCACGCGGAGCGTGCGACCTTCAGTGGCCCTGCGGAAAAGACGTATACACAAGGTGGACTAGTATAGTACACGTGTCATTGTAGGGTGATAGCCGACCTCATATACGCTGTACGGGGAGATTATTTCCTCAGTATGTTGTAGGCAGTGCTGGAGGTTACGTGACGATGGCGGAGCCAAGTGCAAAACGATCTAGGCAGCCCAGATTGCCCACCTCGAGTGCCGTGCGTGGTTTTTTGAAAAAGTTTTCTTTGCCAGGTTCAGGCACTGATCCTCTCGTCTTTTTCAGCAGCCATCATGACGAGCTCCGACAGGTTCTGCTCGAGGAGCTTCAGTCTCACCCGTTCAAGGTGGTTTTAGTTTTGAGGGTGGAGATGACACGAGAGTCGGCCACGGGTAGTACGTCTGCCGTCCCGTTTTTTAGAAGTAGACCGGCTCGGATCCTCAGCGAAGGGGATATTGATAGTGCAGTCAAGACGATGGTGGCGAGGATCACTGGTCTTATTGATAAGTGGGTGCAGAACGGATCCAACTGGACCGTTTCTCGAGTGAGACAGCTGGATGTGTCGACAGCAAAGTACACTCCTCTTCGAGGTGAGTTTCTGTTCATCCGGCAGTGTTTGTTCGAAGCCTGTCGAATTTCTTGTGGAAAGTTGTAGATGTATTGTTTTGTACTAGATGTACAGTTTTTCGTGATTGTCGAGAGGGTGTAGTTGTGATGTGGTGTTACTCTGAGCAAAGCCTTCGTTGTATTTTTGTGGTGTACTGTAGGTGGTGCAGCTGATATCCCGCCCAAATTAGAAAAAAAGAAGGCCATCATTAACGTAAAGAACAACGATGACAGGTGTTTGATGTGGGCGTTGTTGTCAGCGCTGCACCCAGTCGAACAGAATGCAGGGCGTGTGTCCAGGTACACCCAGTATGTGGAGGAGCTGCGGTTCGACGGTGTAATGTTCCCTGCAACGCTCCGTGATGTATCCAAAGTGGAGATACAGAATGGTCTTGCAATCAATGTGTTTGGGTACGAGGGGAATCTGTACCCACTCTATCTCAGCGAGCGACAGGAGACTCCCATCAACCTGCTTCTTCATGAGAACCACTTCACATGGATAAAAAACTTCAGTCGTGCATGCGAGAATAAGAACAGACACGCAACACACTACTGCTTGCGATGCCTCTCCGCACACAAAACAGCAGACTCCCTGCAGCATCACAGCGAGAGATGTCAGGTGATGAAGCCTGTGCCAGTAGTCATGCCCACAGCAAAGGACAGCATCCTCAAATATACAAATTTGAAGCACAGGATGGTGGCTCCGTATATCATTTACGCTG